GCACGCACACATATACAACTAACTAACTTCCAAAATCGGAGGTTCAGCACGCAATCAAAATTATCCCGCGCGCATTGAATCCTTTTAATTATTGTAGGAGCTAATAAATTTATTTTATATTTTTCGTAAATTGCAGTGTAAGATGCGGCGCGTGCGGAGCTGTGTACCTGAAACTTTTAAAGTACTTTTACGACGACGCGATTCGACAATGCGTGTGCAAGGACGAGGAAGAAGATAACGATCCTGCGGTTGTCCTAAAACAAGTTCCATCCTTTTCACTCGCAGTGTATTTTTAAGACGAGAGGAAAAAACAAACCGATAAATTGACCAAATCCGCAAGTTCAAGGCAAATTGTTGCCACTCCTTCAGATAAGGTGTTTTATTTTTGGAAGACTTGTATACCATTATTGCAAAGATTAGATTCTACAATCGTTTTCTATCTTATAGCTATGATGTATGAAGTTGAGTAAATGTCGCAATGTCTTCCCTGATAATTCAAATCATTTTCAGTCTGAATCCTTCCGTTCGCTGAAATAAATCCTCCCGCTGTTACTTCAAAATCAGAAGATATCGCTGACTAAATAGCTGAATAAACTACTGAAAAAACCGCTTCAAGCAAACAATATTTATTAACTATACTCTTATATATGGGATAATATTTCTTGTAATATGCGATTGCTGATGATTCGTTTTGGCGGGAGTTTAGTATCAACGTCAAAAATTTTTCGCCAATTTTTTTTTTCGTTTTTCTTCATTGTAGTTTCGTCGTCAACTTCAATCAATTTTCAATCAATTTTCGTTATTCTGCAATAACAGCAAATTCTTAATGAACATTAATGTACTTTCGTTTTTTTTTCTATAATATTTCTATAATATTTTATTATAGTATTAATAATAATAAATGTATAATTGCAAACCCGCAGCCATGTATTGTATTCTGACGTTTATATATTCTTTAAAAATCATTTGTTAAAATATTATAAGAAATAATGACGACATAACTCATCTAATGTACATATAAATTCGCATCATTAATGTGCTTCAAATGATTAAAAATTCGGGACACTGTTATCAATGACGAGAATTCTTTCTACTTAATGTATTAATATTATATATCTACACGTATTTTCTTTTTATGCTGTATTCATTCCGGCAATATATATAAATAACCATTATACGATCCGTTAACGTCCGTGAACCAAGTTTAATTTCTTTGGAAGATCGTGAAGTTAAGGAATCGCATACAGAGTATTCTAAAGAAACCGGTTGTTTTTCTAAACAGATTCCTTAATTAGTCTGGAATCGATTTTTACTTGACGGGAATGTCTGTAACCTTTGAGTTATAAGCGACGAAACAAAGAAGATTTTTCTCTGAAAAAAAAAAAAAAGAAAAAGAAAACAATAATTTCCATACTCAAATATCAACTATTGAATACGAACGCATAGAAAAGAAACTCATTCTCATCGAAAGTAATTAAAGTTTGTTTAATTCGTAATATATACATATATTGCAGCTGCAAATGAAAGAGAGTTATTCGCCGATAGAATTGCACTAGTTTAAAAGAATTGCACGGTTTAAAAACTGTCCAGGTAATCCAAACTTTCTCGACGGCCCTCGTGTTGTATTATATAAATTGTACATATATTTATCGTGAACCATTTGGGGGAAGGAACGATCTAATTGTAAGTCGAGATTTCGAACTGGACATCTCTCTCTGGAGGTACCAGGGCGTGTACGCGAGAGAACGAGAGAAGTCATGCTCCTCTCGTGGTCAAGGTCGTCGCAGAGCGATGGCTTGGCAGGCAGGATGGCGCGGGGCGGGTTCCCTTAGATGGAGGAGTAGGTATATATGGACGTCCTCATGCGTCCGGAATACCAGATTGTTGGTCCTCCCTGCCGCTCTCTCTCTCTCTTTTTCTCTCGGTGGTGCCTTTTAAAATTCATCGCGCGCACCTCTCGACAGGCTCGACTCGAGGAGACCCCAGCGGGCCCCGCTCCCGTGCGGTCGAATCGCGCGCCGCTCAGACAAGTGCTTCATCGAGTTCCACCAGTGACAGTTTATACGTATCGGTTTATACCTACGTTGCGGAAGAAGAGTCAGGAAGGTGCGTTTGTAACGTACGTCGATTCGCAATCACGAAAAAAAATTTTCTTCGCTCGAAACAAGAAAATTGCTATACGGGTGATGTAAAGAATATTATATATGAAGAAATATATTATGTTTAATGATGTCAGAGTATAAATATCTTCGTTGATTATGCTGACTTCATTGATTATACTGATTCATTGATTACACTGACGCTGACATATCTTTCATCATCTTTAATGATAGATTCGTTTATTATATCATACATATATAGTGGCAATAAGATCTAAATTGTGTTCTTATCTTATCTTTATCTTAAGTTGAAATTTCTTTATGCTATATTCAAATTACACGAGATAAATTATTTTGACCTCCAGAAAAAAGAGATGATTGTAAGAAATTCAATATAAATAACACTGCAGTAGTAAAGTCGGCGCTAATCAGGACGCGTCATTATACACTTCAACGAGACAATAATATTCTGAATGCATTTAAGAAAAACAGTCTGGTTGCAACTCGATAAATTTAACAATTTTTTTTATCAATAATCTATTAATAATCTAATTTTTTTTAGCAAAAACTTGTAAATCATATCAACTGTATATAATTTTTGAAATAGTGATGCTATTTTTTTTATTAATATAGTATAAAAAATTTATATTTTTTGTTGCATTTTTTTGCGAGAGTTAAAAATAGATTTATTGATATTTCAATTTCTTGATGTTTTAACCAATTAAAAGTTCGATTCTTTCTTGAATAATCAGTTTTTAATGATGTCCAAAATTCTATTAATAGGATTTTCATCGGCAACTATTTGTAAACGTAGAATGAAACACATCATTGTTCATATTGTATATATGAACAATATTGATATACTATAATATATCAAGTACTATCGAGTTTTTGTTTTCGAATAATTCGCATGATAAATAATGTCCAATATCGCTTCTTAGAGTGACAACAAAATATCTGATGCCAAATGCGTAAAATGTAAGCGTCAAAAGTAAAAGTTTATGAAAAAGCTGTTTCTGCAAATAATAATGCGATAAAAATATACCTTGTTTTTTATAAACATAATTAATAATGTATTCATTTTAAAGAAAGTACAAGTACAAATTTATGGTATCTGTTCTGGTACTTAGCTCATAAATATTCTAAATGAGAGATCAATGGTCTTGTTATTCACTGCGTGTCGCATAAGATAATTATTGATAGGTCTAACTGGAAATTGCAATAAATAAAACACGATCGCGGCTAGGAAAAGCGAATAAGACGATACGAGCGGACAAGAGTCTTCGTGCGTCTTCAAGGCCGCATCTTTTTCGTGCCATGATACTTGATGTCTTGGAACATATAAGATATCTTAAAGGCTCTAGTAAACACAAATTGATGTACATATGTACTTGAGCATAAAATGCATTCCGATCTGTACCTGTAATAAGCCTCCTATGTCCTAGCCGAATAAGTATTATATTTGTACAATAATTTGAGTCGCTACTCAAACCGGCTGCTCCTCCTTTATAGTCGCATAAGTAAAAATAACGCATTTCGCGCGAACATCTCGTAGACGTAGAAGGATCTTTCTGTCTCTCTCTCTCTCTCTCTCTCTCTCTCTCTCTCTCTCTCTCTCTCTCTC